TATCAAGTCCACTTGTTTGCATTATCAAGTCCATTCTCTATTCTTTCAATTTCTATATAAACCACTTATTCTATCTTCTTTCAATTATCGAGTCCACTTCTTTGCATTCTCAAGTCCACTCTATGTTCTTTGAGTCTTCATCTTTCTTATACAAAACAACAATGACTTCATCGTCACGAGATATACCCATCTCCTAGTCTATTTCTCCATTGAATTCGTCAGATTCAGATGGAGAAGATATTTTTGAAATCCATCGAAAATGATGAACGATGTGACGAGATTATAATCGCCTAATAGGGTACTGCGGGCATTCTTTCAACCTCGTAAGAGAAAATATATTAAACCTGATCGAGAGGAGGCAGCACAATGTTTATTCCGAGATTACTTTGCTGAAAATCCGATTTATCCACCAAACATATTTCGTAAAAGGTTTCAAATGCGACGAGAGTTGTTTCTTCACATTTTGAACGGTGGCATATGATGAATGGTTCATCCAGAAACCTGATGCCCTCGGTCGTATGGGGTTCACTCCTATACAAAAGATGACTGATGTAGTATGTATACTCGCATATGTGTTTTTTTGTGACCCTTCTTGAATGTTTTTCGTCCGGGGGGTCGTATAATGCCATACGAACTTTCAACACTAATTGCAAGCGAATCGTCGTCGCCAAGGTTTACTGAACCTGGTGTTGATACTCTAGGTGTTGACGGAGTAGATGGATTGGTTTGGACTGTTGACGAAGTAGGTTGAACAGTTTCTGGCCACTTTCCAAGCTCATTCATATCAATCTCCACTCCTCTTTTGTTTTTCCCTTTATCATTGTTGTTGAAAATGGAATTCCATTTTAACGAATTCTTTAAAATACACCAACAGTGATCCAACTTAAATGGCTCATTTTCTGATGTATTAAATGTACATTTCGGGACGTTGTGCCCCTGGTTATCGAATAAAATTTTCATGGACTCGTTACCAATACGTGATTTGCTTCTGATCTGAACCCATTATTAGATCTTCTCCAATGTCAACCCATGCTTTGCATAATGCTTCATCTTCTTCAATGGACCAATTTTGTTTCGTACATACCTAGAATTATGTTGGGTTTGAGATAGTTGGGATTGAGAAGGTTAGAACTAAAAAGGTTGGGATTGAGAAGGTTGGAACTGAGATGGTTGGAATTAAGATGGTTGGAACTGGAAATGAGGTTGGAATTGGGGATGTGGTAGGGGTTGGAATTGAGAAGGTTGGAATTGAAAATAAGAGTATTGTAGTTGAGATGGATTTTCAGATTGAAAAAAAATTTGAAGAATTCAAATTATAATTGGATTGCGGTGGTAATTCGGAGTTATAATATTGGTTGAGATGGGGGCAAAAGAATGGAGGTGGAGGATTCATTGAGATAAATGTTAAAAAAAATATTGAGAGAGAGAATTATTGAAGATAAGAATTAGTATTTATAGAGTAGATAATATAGCCGTTTCAAAGCTGCCAAACTAAAGAGACAAAGCAGCTAATAAAAAATTAAAGAAAATGATAAATATGATCTAAACAATTTTGTCTCGTAGAGAAGACTATAGAGAAGAGTTTGTAGGGGTCACAAAGGGGCTCTCAATTTTATCCACAGACTGCCCCTCTCTCTCTCTCTCTCTCTCCTACTTTTCACAATTCTTCTCTATCATTTGCTGCCCTAGATGCTCTAAGTGATACATTACAAGTCCTCTAACTTTGGTTTTTCTTCTTCCTCTCCCACCAGACAATTAAATAAAACAAAAACAAAAAAAAACAAAAAAGTATGTAGCTTTAATATTATAATCACATTTAATTGATTATGCCTCACTTTCCAAGCATAAATGTAATTTAGTAGAAAAGTAAAGTTTTGATGTTGATTTCACTTTAATTTTTTCCTATAATTTACTTTAACTTGGACATTCTGATGCTTCGCCTATCATCTTTTCATAAGTATATAATTAATTTGTTTCTATTAATTACGTAGCTAGCACTATATAATTATTTAAATCACTTGGGCTGGAATTTACAATTTGAATGGGCCTTACTTGGGCTGTGGTCCAACTATTTTTTGGACTTTTCTTTTTTTTGGGGGGGGGGTTTTTTTACTTGGTTTTGTATTCTAGGTATGCCCCACGTATTTGTACATCTTTTTTCTTATATACTCACTCACTCATTCAAAAAAAAAAAATCATGATATTTTCCCTGACAATTTACGTTTTTAGAGTAGTCAATATTATTATGGTTATAAAATTAGTGGTATTCATGATCAACCGATCAAAGGAAATTAATGTAACCTAAGGCTTTGTTTGTTTCGACATAAAATATTTTCTTTGAAAAATATTTTTCTTTTTCAGGTAAAATATATATTTTTTTATTTTATTTTGTTGGTGTTTGGCAAAGGTCTACGTCGAGGTTAAGGTCGAGTCCATCGGGCGAGACATATAAAATAACTTGTCGAAAAGTGATGAATAAGTTATTTTTGTTAAATTTTAATATATTTTTTCTTCGTAAATATTTTACGACAACCAAATACAAGAAAATAAAAAATATATATTTTTTAAAAAATATTTTACGTCCAAACAAACGGAGCCTAAGTGTCCCACCTTGGAGTTTGCTCAAATTTCAAGCTTAATTCACTTCTCGTACTAAATTGTATGCATGTATTATTATTATCCATAAACCTATTTTGGAAACCATAGCCCAAACCTCCTGAGCCCGAAAATTTAAAATGCACGATCCTAAATGCAACTTTAAGAGTTCGGAACTCTAAAAATATCTAAATGACTCTTGGGATCCACGTGTAATGTGTTCCATGCACATCAACATAATACATAAAAAATGAAAAATGTTTGGAAAAATGAAAAAATGGAAACCTGGCCTCACAAAATTGCAGTTGGAGAACAATTTCCAACTTGATTCTAGAAAAGCGCAACCGATTCCTCGAAGGCAATGATTTATACTTCAAAAATGAATTTTAAAATCAACAGTGCAACCGGTTGCGTTTTAGGGCGACCGGTTCCGCAAACGTAGTGCACTTTTTGTACAAATTGTCCTTGAAATTTTTTACGTGTCCTTATACACTTGTCTAATATGTCGTTCTTATCGAATCGGTGTATATCGTCACGATCCAATTCTTCAATTTCGCTTCCGAACACAAGACTCAAAATTCAAACAAAAAATACAACTTAATCGGACTTGTTTTGACACCAAAATTTTCAATTTTAATATTATATCTCACAATTCAGTGTGATAAAAATCCCTATTTTCCATCTATATATATATAAATCACCTCGCAAAAGTGGCCACTCACCGTGACATTAATTTCAATATTTATCCAGGAGAGACTGCATCATATGCATAAGCGTTTGTTTTTTAATAGATAGAAGCAATGACTTTTTAATAGAGTTTTTGTAAAAATGAGTTTATATAGATGTATAATCGCCAAATTAAAACTATAGTCTAGTCATATTTGGAAGGTAGAGTTTAAGTCCCAATAAAAAGAAAAGGGTGTGTGAGTTTTATTTTTTACAAAGTTAATAAATAAATAAAATTATATAGATGTATATATTATATATTTCTTTTTTTCGCGAGAGATCAATTCGAGAAAACGAAATAGATGTTTATGTTTTAGGTAACTACTTTTTCTTTTGTTTTTTTTCCCTCTTTTGTAAAGTGCTACTATTACCAAATATAAAAACACTCCATTAAAAGACAGTTAGAAGATTAGTAACAGAAGCATTTCAAACAATACTGTTGGTAAACAAATTTAAAATTATTTTAAGGGAAAAGTGCAAAAAAACCCCCTGAACTATGAGGAAACCTGCAACTAACCCCCTAAACTTCAAAAAATGCAAGAAACCCCCTGAACTATGCAAAAAAGTTGTAGATTACCCCATCTGGCCAAGGTCCGGTGAGATATAGCCGTTAAATTTGAATGAATTTTTTTAAAAGACGATATTGCCCTTAGAAGCATGAAATGACAATAGTGCCCTTAATTTCCAACCGTTGTACGGTTATACCCCAATATCCAATTCCTTATAATAGACCAACAAAGCCAAACACGGCTTTTACCCAAATATCCCCAAATCACGAACTCTGCAACTGCTAGGGTTTTCTGTTGTTGTTCTTGGTGGTCAATCGACTATTAATTTAGGTGATAATCGTGGTCAGAAAATCGATACAAGTGTTAGTAAGTGTTATCATCCATCTTTACTTCTATTTTCATCTTCACGATACTGTTAGTTTTCATGTCCATCTCCTTCTCGTTCTCCTTCTATGTGCGTGCGTATATTTGCAGAAAATGAGTTATGAATCATCTGCAAGACGTGGGTTTCGTGGTGTGGTGCGAAGGGGCCCTTTCAAGAATAGGAAATGTTGTTGTGACAAAAGGGCAGCTGTGTTGATCTCTGAGTCAGACGACAATCCTGGGAAGTTGTTTTTCAATTGCAAGGATAGGGTTCGTAATTTTTTCGAATGGTGGACTCCTTCAGCTGGTTTGGGTGAAGCTATACAAGAGGAACATGAAGGTCGAGTAGGTCATGTTGTGTCCATCAATGATTTCATTGCAATTGCTAAGTCAATGTTAGTTGGAAGCATGTTTTTATTTGGCCTATCAGTTGTGGTGCTATTTGTTTGCCTTTTTGTGAAGTGAATGTTGGGATTTAGTAGTATGTTGTTGTATGAATGAACATGTATTTTGGGGGTTGAATTTTTTGATTGTATGTCGTATGAATCAGAATCTTGTAAAAGTATGAGATGAATGAAAATTCAATCTGTTTTGTTGAAGGTGGTGTTGTATGAATTTTCTGATTATATGTTATATTTGTCATGCAATGAGACCAAAATTAGGTGATTTTGGTTTGCTGAATGATAGTGCAGTACAGGTTATGATAATGATTGGAAGTGCAAGGTTTTGGGGGTTGAATTTCCTGATTGGAATTGTAAGTTTTTGGCACTGCACTTGTTATACAGTTGTCTTGAAAAATGAATGCCATTATAATTCAGTTTTTGGCACTGTACCTGTTATACACTTAAAGCAAAAATGACAGCCATTATAATTCAGTTTTTGGCACTGTACCTGTTATACACTTAAAGCAAAAATGACAGCCATTATAATTCAGTTTTTCGCAGTGCACCTGTTATACACTTGAGCTGTAAGTGTCAAAGTGACACACTTAGGTAACATGACAACTTAGCTGTAAGTAAAAATGCACTGTAACTCAATTGATCTAAGTGCACTGCAATTCACTTCATATTCAATGCACTTGGTAATCTGACATTCAGTTAATTAAAGTGTTCCCAAAATAAATGCAGTAGTTAAAACACTGATAAATAGAGTGATAGAACATGTCATACATTCATAATAAAGTCTTCATACATAGACTGACAATAAACAAAAAGGCTGACAATAAACAGGTTAGTTTTATACTAGTCTTCCACATGATCATATAACATACTGACAATAAACAAAATGCCATTATAATATAACATGTCTTCACTCCATTCACTTAAACAAAAGGCTGACAAGTGTTTGTAGGTAAGTGTGTGTGCATGTAAGTGTGTGTGTGTAGGTAAGTGTGTGTGCAATTGAGTGTGTACAGGTAAGTGAGTGTGTGCTGGTGTAAGTGTGTGCTGGTGTAAGTGTGTGCAGGTGTGATTATGTGCAGGTGAGTGTGTACAGGTGTGAGTATGTGTGCAGGTGTGAGTGTGTGTGCAGGTGTGAGTGTGTACAGGTGTGAGTATGTTCAGGTGTGATTGTGTGAATGTGATTGTGTGAGTGTGTGTGTGCATATGTGAGTGTGTGTGCAGGTGTGATTGTGTGAGCGTTTGTGCATATGTGAGTGTGTGCAGGTGTGAGTGTGTGCAGGTGTGAGTGTGTGTGCAGGTGTGAGTGTGTGTGCAGGTGTGAGTGTGTGAAGGTGTGAGTGTGTGAGTAGGTGTGATTGTGTATAGGTGTGAGTGTGTGTGCAGGTGTGAGTATGTGCATATGTGAGTGTGTGTGCAGGTGTGATTGTGTACAAGTGTGAGTGTGTGCAGGTGTGAGTGTGTGTATATGTGAGTGTGTGCATATGTGAGTGTGTGCAAGTAAGTGTGCGCAATTAAGTGTGTGTGGAAGGAAGTGTGTGACCACACACTAAAATACATTTTACCTTCTGCCTATCAGATATGAAGGTTATATCATTGTATGGCCCTACAGCATCCATCAACTCTCCCATGAACCATTCCCAAGAATCTCTTGTCTCAGACTCTACCACTGCAATTACAACTGGGAACATTTGACCATTCCCATCCATAGACACTGCACTCAGTAGATGACCACCATAAGGACCCTTTAGGAAGCATCCATCTACACCAATTAGTGGCCTACAACCTTGTTTAAAACCAGCTATCATTGCAGCATAACAAATAAAGACTCTTTGAAACCTTCTAACACTTTCATCAGCAATGGGCTCAGTTTGTATTTTAACTACATTGCCAGGATTGGTTCTCAATATCAAGCTACAGTAATCCCTCATTTTACCATACTGCTCAACATCATTCCCCTCTATCATTGCTAATGCCTTTCTTTTTGCCCTATACACTTTATGTGTGGACACATCAATGTTCATTTCAGATGCAATGGTGCTCTTAAGTGTTCCCAAAGGTATCTTAGGGTTCAATGTCACTTGTTCACAATATTTGTTTGCTAAGAAGGTTGATGAGGCCTGTCCATTTGTATGAAACCATAAACAGTTAGTATGTTCTGGCACATAGGTCTTAATAATCAAGCAATCTTCATTTTCAGGTTTGCTTGCATGTATCCTCCAACCACATTCAGCCTTGCACACTGCAGTTACCATATCTCCATCATTCCTTGTGAACATTATATCAAACTTGTTTTTCAATGCACTTTCCCTAAGTGCCAACCTAAAATCAGCAGCTGACCCAAATTTCATGCCTAATTCCAGTTCTTTTTCCCCCAAATCCCTTGAAGGAATGTAATCCTGGTGCATATAACCACTATCAACACATTCATCATCAAATTCACACAGACTTATCAACTCATCACTAGGACTATACTCACTTGACACAGGAGTAATGAGTTGGGTATCACTCATTAGATAATCCCACCCTAAATCAGCATCTGAGTTGACCTCATTTTCTGCCCCATTCAACAAAAGTGCAACAATATATAATTTCACAACAGAAATTTTTCCATGAGCATCATGGTCATAAAACATCCTAAACACATCTAAATCACACTTCACTTCTCTGAATTGTTGCCACTCATAAGGTACTTTATAGAACACTTCACTGATCACCCCATACCCTAATCTAGTTGCCATCCTTTGAACCTCAATATATGACATCATGTCAGGGTCTATCTTTTCAAATTCAGTTATATTTCCTCTTAAGTATGTCATAAGGTGTGATTTCTCAAATATACCCCCATGATGAAGTTCAATGCTAAACATATCATCCATCTACAACAATTGGGTACAGAAAACCTCAATATAGACAATGACAGAGACAACCTTAATAAAAACAGCATAGACACATTATTCACTAAGTGTATAAATAATAAAGACAATGCAATCATTAAGTAACATATCCAATTCAATAATTTAAGTACATGATCATTATGTATGTCAGTATGCAATTGGGGTACAATTACATAATACACATTGCATATTTACTAACACAAGGGACCACTATATCATATAAACAATGCAATCAATAATGGTGGGTCAAAATTAAATACAAAAAAAAGAACCACTACAAGGCATATCAGGTCATTTGACAAACACAGAGGGACCACCATGTCACAAAAAGTTATGAAACAAAGAGATTGTATACTATTTTATGCAGACAATAGAAACAAACAATAACAATAGAGTAGGTTTTTAGACAGGGACTAGTCGACATGAAGAAGAAAAAAAACAGTGCAAAGAAATTGTACCTCGGACCTTTCAAAAAAATTATACATCAACTACAACATCAGAGTTCGAAAATGGCATGAATAAAAGCGAAATCTAAAAGGTCACAAAAACATCAATCACAAACTTAGCTTTAGCTTAGCTTAGCAATTTTAAGATTTTTACTTTTTAGCCTTTTTGCTTTGCTTTGCTTTGTAGCTTGGATGCTCCTTTACTTACCTCCTTACTCAATGCACCTTGTCAAGTATGAACAAACACAATAAGTAATCAAATGAAAAATAAAAATAAAAATAGAGTAAAAACATGATCAAAAGAGTACTAATCCTAATTAATTTCCACAAATTCGACGTTGCCAATCAAATCAATCAATCAATCCCCGGCAACGGCGCCAAAAACTGGTGGTTCGTCACCCTACCATCAAGTTTGGAGAGTGCGCAGCTAAGTTTTACATTTATAAAAGCCACTACTACCTTCACTAAAAATATAGATAGAGTGAGTAGGGATCGTCCTAAGGGATTGCGGATATTGCTAGGTCGAATTTTGTTGTGGAATTGCAACTAGGGCTAATAGGTCGAATGATCAAACAAATGATTGGTTAGTTGATTACGCTAGAGAGTAACTAAATTAAACTAAGTAATTAATTGCAAATAAGAGTAAGTAAAAGAGATAGAGAGAGGTCTTGGTGTTTAGAGGTCACCACCAAGCAATACATTTCTATACCATTCACAAGTGACTAATGAGGGTAAGGTGTGTTGCAACATTTGTGTGTGTGTGATTGGTTGATTCAACAAGCAAGGATGACCGATTGAGCATGTATTGTCTAAACATCATGTGAAAGGCACAACATATCTAATCAATGAAGCATATATTGTCTAAACAACATGTGAAAGGCACAATAGATCAAAACAAGTCATTAATCCTTTCCTTAAGCTCACAATCCAAATACACCACAAGATTAGAGATATATGCTACTTGCATTCAAAATCATAGAACATCAAACAATAAGCATGGATTTTCCTCTCATTTATCATCTACACTACAACTACACTACTATCATGAAATTAAACTAAGGGAGAGGCACAAACCATCAAGAAATAAGTATGAGCCATCAAGAAAATAGCAAAAGCATTCCATTAAGCACTATATTTTGACAATCTCTAAATCTATAGCATCAACACACATAGACATGCATCAATAACACAAAATTTAGAGACAAACACATGAACATCTATTCTAGCATACATAGACACATGGATAGAATGAAATGAACAATTGGAAGCATTAAACCATATAAATCATTGAATAAACAAGATCTATATAAATCAAAGTGTCAAAACAAGTATTACAACACTAATCCCTCAATAATACACAAGATTAAGGTAAAGAAAGCATGCTTGGGGCTAACTCTAGCACCAAAAGGATGTCTAGCCACTCATGGTGATGCTCCTCCAATCCTCAAGGGCAAGCTCCATGGATGAAATCTGCTCCTTATTGATGAAGAACTCTCCAATGGTGTCTCTAGCCTTCTCCTCCTTTTCTTCTACACTAAGAATTGCCTCTAAAGTTGCCTCCCTAGAATGGAATTCCTCTTCTTCAAAAAGTGCATCATATTCCTTTTATAGGTAGGTCAAGTGACACACCAAATGAGCTGGGGTCGTGCACCCAATATTCTCTAATGATTGGAGGGAGGGCAATTTTAGTGAGCTGGGATTTTAACTTTTTCGCACTGGAGGGAGTTCGATCGATCAAACCTTGTACTTGGATCGATCGAACTTGGCTGAGATCTATCGAACTAAGGCTAGATCTATCCAACTGGGTGAGGTTTTTAGGAAAAGACAAATCCAAGATATTTTGAAGATATTTATGGGGAAAAAGACAAAAGTGGTAGGTGGGTGGACAGTTGTGGATAAGATCAATCATTTGGATGAGGACAAAGATGTTCGATCAATCGAAGTATAGTGTTGGATCGATCGAACTTTGGGCTTTCTGTTTTGGGTCAAGGTTTGGATCTATCTTGAAGTGCTGAGATCGATCCATGTTGGATCGATTGAACCTTCATCTTGGATTGATCGAGAATCTTGAATGACCACCTTTCTTCCTATTTGCTTCTTTCTTTCTCCACTTTGCTCCTTTCTTTGTTTAATCCCAGAATTGCTGTTTTTAGGCTCTTATTTGGCTGAGTTAGCTTATTTTCGGGATAAGTGCCTGAAAATGGAATTAACACGAAATTAATCTAAAATGGTAATGTAAGATAGATAAAGGTTCTAGAATACCTAAGCTTAACGGGTTTAAATACGCACTTTTCAGTGCTCATCATACCCCCAAACTTAAATATTGCTAGTCCCTAGCAATGAACTAGAAAGTAAAGGAATGAAATGAACAAGTAATTAACTATGAACTAGAAAGTAATAAATGGATAACGCCACTTTCGTAGGGAACACGATTGCACTTAGCACATGCAACAAGCCTTTTAAATCCCTAGGTTACCCCTAGTGGATGAGTGAAGTCTCGTAAAGGTTTCCAGAAATGATACCCACAAACATTAAGCTCATTCTTTCAAAAAAGGCACCAATATTGCAAACAAGCATTGGGAGAAAACTACCTCAAGTATGCAATTTTTCAAACATTTCTAAGCAATCTCCCAAATTTTCAACATTAAGCAAGCAAATATGGTCCTCCACACATTAAGAAAATGATCATGTAAATCAAAACAACACTCGAATCCTTTTGAGTGGACCGGCATCAAATGAGTTGTTATCTTAACCAACTAAAGAATTAATCACATCCTTACCCTCAAACTAGCATACAAATCTAGTACCGATCATCAAGACAAAAGAGTGGACCTTTTATTAAAGCTTATTGTTCTAGGTGCACTTATTCTTTTCACTCATTTTTTTTTTTTTTTTTTTTTTATAGGATCAAAGATGGAAGCATAGTGCAATGTTTTGATCTTTTAAGCTTTCTAGCGATTCATGAGATCGAGCGTTAGGTCAATGACTCCCAAACCAGACGGTTTTAGGGCATTAGGTGTTCAAACACCCCTACGAACTTACAAACTCAAATCAACTAGGCTACAAATCAAGACAACCTCCATCTAATCATTTCCCACTTCTCACCTTTTGGGAGAAGTACTCACTTTTTTATTGCTTTTTCTTTTCTTTTTTTTCTTTTTTTTAAAAAAAAAAAAAACAAGTTCAATTATTAACCTAGAGTTTGGGCCCTCCACCTTTCGGCACAAGAAGTTCAGTGCTTGATGAGGCTAGAATCCCGGCTACTTAGCAAAAAGGGGTTGTTATCCACCTTTATCAAGAATGAAAGCTTTCAATGCACTACTAGCTCAATTGGGATATAACCAATTCAATAATCAACAAAGCATGTACCCCACAAATGAATTCTAGTGTGCGCCTGTGTTAGTGTAGAAAACTAGAGTGGATCTCAAAACAATCACAAAATCAGGATGATGTGGACCACAAGTGCAAGCATGATATCAATCTTTCGAAAAATTTATTCCTAAATGGCATCCACAAGGCATACAAGGAGTATTGGACTCTCAAGTCAAGCAATTTTTAAATTTTAAGCAATATAGTCCTCAAAAGATCAAAATCATAGCTAGTCATGAACCAATCATAGAAATATCCCTCAGATACACAAGTCATGCTCAAAATTTTAATTCCAAAGCAAACACTGCAAAGCACCATTCCCCCAAGCTTAAATGGCACAATGTCCTCAATGTGCAAAGAGAACAAAGGAAAGAGTATACTAGTACAACTAAGCAAGAATGATCGGGACTGAAGTATCCGAAGTGGGTGGCATGGCCCCCCCAAACTTGGGATAAACTATGGTCCTGAAAAGATGGCACTTAGATAAACTCATCAGAAAACAAAATGGGAAAATCAATGCACAGTAGACATGCAAGTGTAAATGGGATAATCAGATAAAGAAGTGAGAGAGGTATAAGGGTGGTCCTGAAAATCGGATAGCACTCTCTCACTGAAGTTACTATGATGTACCTGATAGAGTCAAACAGACAGATATATCAATAAAAGCATTCAATATCCATCATAGATAAATAAAAAATAAAAATAAAAAATAGACATAAAGTGCGATACATCTAGTGTTCAAAGCCGACAGACCCGGCTGCAAAAATAATAGTAGCGTCACAAATGTATTAAACACACAACATAGATAAAGAGCATAAAAAGATAAAGAGACTGGGAGTCTCAAGCAGAGGAGTCAGGGCTAGCAGAGCGAGCTCCGCGGATATCTCTGGCTAAGTCTTCAATTGCAGCCATGATCTCTGCACGGAAGCGAGCAAGGTCAGCTCTAATGGCAAGCAGGGTGTCTTCCAAAAGCTGTATTTGTGCTTCAAGTCTAGCTATCGGATCAACAACCTCAGATGTAGGTGGAGCAGAAGAATGGGCAATCTTAGTCATGGTCTGCAAAAGGAAGAGAAACACTTGCAATGGAAGTTAGTGCCAGAATAAAGAATTAAAAGTACGAAATAGAAACAAGTATGTCAAATAAGATAGACAAAACATATATGACAT